GGAGGAGGCTTCCAGGTCACAGGTAGACAAAAGACAAACAGCTGCATTCTTGGGAGCTTCTGATCAACCTTTGCAAAGGAGGCCATCAGATCTGTATTCATCTCAGGGAACAGAAGGTGACTTTGGAGAGAATGTGAGGCAGACTGGCCCTCAGCAGTTCCCCAGTTCAACTTTTCCTGTTAGCTTAGTGATGGTGGGGCCCAAGGTTTATTTTCCTTTTATACTTTAATGGTCTGTTTCATGATGTATTTTGAGTTATTTCGTTAGTGGCTGTTCTTTGGTTCAGCATACATGAATCTTGCTCCATCAGAGTCAATTTCGGGGCTTAATGCTGCCTAATTCCAGTTAGACATGGAGACGTGGCTGCTGCGCAGCTCTGACCCTTCCCCACTTTGTGCTTCATTGCTACAATACCACATCCACATATGCCACAAACCCAGTAATATGTTATTTTAATTACTCATTTACAGGAGAGAGAGTAAGTGGTCCTGGTTCTCTTCACCTCTTCCTGTAAATTCCACTCAGTGTGGTAAGAGAAACCTTCTTGCTCAGCACTCCAGGTTCTCCGCCTCTTCCTGTAAATTTGACTCAGAGCGTTGCTAGATGGACCTTCCTGCTCCGCACGCCAGGTTCTCTTTGCCTCTTCTTGTAAATTCCACTCAAAGCGTTGCTAGATGGACATTCCTGCTCAGCACACAGGGTTCTCTTCGCCTCTTCCTGTAAATTAAAGTCACCACCTGTTGTCATTTCACCCCCTCAGTCCCCTCCTCTGTGCTGCTACTGGCAAAGATTACACTCCCGCATGTCATGGGCCCAACAATACAAAAAGTTTTTGTTTTATCTTTGAGACAGGGTCTCGCTCTGTGGCCCAGCCTGGAGTGCAGAGGCATGATTCTGGCTCACTGCAACCTCTGCTTTCTGGGTTCTAGTGATTCTTGTGCCTCAGTCTCCTGTGTAGCTGAAATTACAGGCATGCATGACCACGCCCGGCTAATTTTTGTATTTTTAGTAGTGACGGAGTATCACCATGTTGGACAGCCTGTCCTGAACTCCTGACCTAAAGTGATCCACCTGCCTTGGCCTCCCAAAGTGCTGGGATTACAGGCGTGAGCCACCAGATACCTGGCCATGGAGTTTTATAATATAAAGCCATATCACTTTTTAAATCACGAGAGAAAAGGAGAAGCAACATGCTACCTTACAGAGTTACGTAATCACCATTTCTGGTGCTCTGCTTGTTTGTGTGGACTCAGATTTTCATCTGGCTCACCTGCTTTCAGCCTGAAGAGCTTCTTTTAGAACTTCTTGTAAAGTGCGTCTGCTAGTGAATTCCCACTTTCTGCCTGGGAAAGCCCAGCCTTTGCTTTTGAAAGCTGTTTTGCTGGATAGGGGGCCTGGGTATGGTCATACTGTCTCTGAGGAGAAATGGCTGTGGCCTCAGGATGGGCTCTCTGTGGAGGCCTCACACTTCTTCTGGCGCCCCCAGGCCTGTCCCAGCATTTCCACTTCCAGTGTAGAAGGATCTTTGTGCTCATCCTACTGGGAGTTTGCTGAGCTTCTGGGACGAATAAATTAATGTTTTCCATTAAATTTGGGCAGTTTTCAGTCATTATGTCTTTGAATAGTTTTTCTGCTACTCTCTCTCCTAAAAAACATCTTGCTTGGTCATCCAAGATTAAAAAAAACTTTGATGTGTGTTTCTGGGGAGAACTGTTCACTGTTGTGTGTCTGTAAGAGAGGGAAACTCATGCAACCCTCCCAAATAGACAAGAGGAGCCAGACCTTGGAGGAGCCTTGCCGGCCGTCCTGTGTCTCCCACGCAGGCTGACCACACGCCCCCATAGAGAAGAGCTGAGTGCTGGATCTGGGTACTCGTGTCAGGAAACGAAGGCTTTAAAACGTGGTGCTGTTTTCCTTTCCTGTTTATTACTGTGCCAGATGGGACAGGAAACAGCGCCAGGACTAAAATCTCCAAGTACTCAGGGAACCGTCTTCGGCTGTTGTTTCTGTCAACAGATCATGGGAATGACCAGCTCATCCTCTTGCTGCTAACATAACAGCTCCCAGCAATGCTATGCTATGTTTCTTGGCAGTTAACTCAATGTCGTTTTCACTTCTCCACGAACTCTAGGAATAATCTGAAGCGGATATGGTGTATTTTAAAGTTGCCTTCTGTGAGCTATGACTCACCTCCTACCACCAAAAGAATAAAAGGACAGGCTCAGGAGCAGATCACCCAACATGGGAGACATCACCCCATGCGGGGGGACATCACCCCACCACAGGCTCAGGGGCAGATCACCCAACATGGGAGGCATCACACCACCACGGGCTCAGGGACAGATCACCCCATATGGGACTCATCACCCCACCATGGGCTCAGGGACAGATCACCCTACGTGGGAGACATCACCCCACCACGGGCTCAGGGACAGATCACCCCACATGGGACTCACCACCCCACCACGGGCTCAGGGACAGATCACCCTATGTGGGACACATCACCCCACCACGGGTTCAGGGACAGATCACCCTATGTGAGAGACATCACCCCACCACGGGCTCAGGGACAGATCACCCTACGTGGGAGACATCACCCCACCACGGGCTCAGGGACAGATCACCCTACGTGGGACACATCACCCCACCATGGGCTCAGGGACAGATCACTCCACATGGGAGACATCACCCCACCACAGGCTCAGGGGCAGATCACCTACACGGGAGAACTTGCCTAACCTGGACGCCAGTTCTTTTCAGTACCTAGAACTGGTGGTGAGATGATGTGTCTGTAAGATCCTTAAACGTTCTGAAGATGTCTTGTTTGGTTTTTTATCTTGAGGATTTACTTTAAAGAGTAAAAGCGCCCAGCAGGAGGCTACAGATATAGCAGGCATCTGATGTTTGTTGATTTCAGAGAAGAATGAATCACTTCTTGGTAGACAAGTAAAAAACACAACCTTCCCCCTTCTGTTAAAACGTTTTCAAGTTCAAGTGACATTAAGATTCTACAGAACAGCTTGGCCAAGCGAAATTAGCAAGATGTGCTGCCAACCAGAGCGCTGATGGGAAAAAGCGGAGCCAGCTTCCGCACAAAATGCGTCGCCATACACGGGAATCAGAATGAAGCTGAATGTTTGACGTGCAAAAATAAACCCAAAACTCAAACCATATTTTACTTTATTACAAGCAAAAATGTTACATGAAAAATTTCAACACATTTGCATGTCTCACTGAATACCTCGTAAACAGGAATAAAATGTTAACAGGAGTTCCCTGATCTTTAAAGAAGGCATGAGGCCCCAAAGCCCAGTCACAAAACTCTGACAGGAAGCTGCACAGACCCCACTCCCTGCTGACAGGAAGCCTTACAGACTCCACTCCCTGCTGACAGGAATCCAAACAGGCCCCCCCACTCCAGCTGACAGGAATCCAAATAGACCCCGCTCCCTGCTGACAGGAAGCCCCACAGACCCCACTCCCTGCTGACAGAAAGCCGTAAAATCCCCACTCCCAGCTGACTGAAGCCGCGCAGACCCCGGTCCCTGCTGAGAGGAAGCCGGGGTGGACCCCGCTCCCAGCTGAGAGGACGCTGCAGAGACCCCGCTCCCAGCTGAGAGGAAGCCGCAG